TTCGTTTCAGCTTTGTCATCTGAATCAAAGGGTCGCGATGAAACAGACATTAATCCTGACAAGTTATTAGAGGTGAGCTGTCCTTCTCATAGTTTGTGAGCAGGCCCTTATTACTACAGCTCCTGTGAGTGCATTTTTCGCTCTTGGTAAAGCAACGCGAGTCAGCGAGAGGTCAGTCAGGGGTCTAGCACTGATTCATTTTTAGTGACCTCTCCCCGACTAGTCGCAATCTCCTCGCAGACTGAGAAATAAGCGTCCAACCGCACTAATATTGAGGGCCTGCTAGCCTAGAAAGGATAAAACAGAATTCTATGACGTTAATGCAATTTCTTCTTCTTTCCTACCCTAGGTCAATGTCAAGTCGGATGATTCGAAAGTTTCAGTTTGCTTTGAAGATGGAGATGAAGCAGTCAACATCATGGCGTCGTTCAATCTCTCGCTCCTTAAGAGAACCAAGAAAGTAAGATTCAAGATCCACGCAATATTCTCTGATTTCCTTTCATTCATATTACTTCTTGGTGGCAGTTGCCAATATTTTTTTATAGCATTGACCACAAAACATATTCCTGACATCCATCTTCTGTTGGATGTGGGATTGGAAGCATACGCAGATATTACACTAATAATGTGGGTGGGGAAAACATTATAGGTTCTTTTAATTAAGGTTTCATTTTTTCTTTTTGAAAAAAGGTAATTTTTTCCCGCGTACGGCATGCACTAACCACGAATAATAATAATAATAATGATAATGATAATGATAATGATAATGATAATAATAATAATAATAATAATAATAATAATAATAATAATAATAACAATGGTTATTATTATTTAGAGCAATATTCCACAGCCATCTCCTGGGTAAGAGCTCAAGTTTCGTTTGCGATCTGCTCTTGTCTGTTTAAGAGGCTCCAGGAGCATTGGGAAAGTTCAGCGTGACATGAAGAACAATGACATTGATGTTGGCGTTATTATCGCCAAGTTTTACGTTTCTCAAAACCAGTCTTGAATTCTTTATTGCTATATTTTAGCCTAGGTAAATCTTACCTATTTCAATCAAAGTCGACAGATTTTTAAATACATTTTATGTTTTTTTCTTTCGCAAACATATGAGTAATGTATTTATGTTTAGAATTTTATTGTTATCGACATGTGTTAAAAGGATAGAATTATAGATTCCATTGTAAATAGATTTTAGCACTTGAAATAAAGATATTTCTCATCCATAAAATTAAAAAATATTTATTATTATTATTATTATTATCATTACTGTATTAATTATTGGAGCACTTTTCGATTATGTGTCGCAAAACCAACCAAAGCAATCATAACAGCCACTCATGACAAGGCCAAACCGCGTAACAAAATAAAACATTCAAAGTATTCCCGGATTACTTTCGAAACTTAATTGAAATTTTTTTTCCTATCAGTATTTCTATTATCACTCCATAACTGTATTGAACTTAGTAATTATTACGACATGATAAATTGCATCTTAAAGTACAAGTGCATTTTTATTTCTTTCCAGACTCAGTATAGAGCTTCCGTGGGAATACAAGCCTATGTCCCCAACTCAGAGGGGAAAAAAGATCCCTATGCCGTTATTGGAAATGAATGGATCTCAAAGCCTTGGGAATGTTCTTTTATTGTGAGTAATTTGAACGTTATCTTAGTTAATATTCAGGTAGAATCAGAGTAATTTTAAATGGAGTGTCGAAAGGAATCCAAGGTTTCATTAGTTTTTCTTTACTTCGCTCTGTGATTGGTCCAAAAACCTTGCGCCACTCTCTTTACCAATCAGAGGAAGAAATTAAAACAAACCGCGCTTTCGGCAGTTTGGTTGTTTTTACTCCGAGTTTTCCTTGAAAATTCTCGTGTTTTTACCGCTTTAACTCCGTCTCATAAGGACCTTGGTATACTATCGGTAATCTTTCACCAGTTTTTAAGTTGACTCTAGAACAAGTAAAAAAGTGATTTTCTTTCTACGCAACAGGGGAGTGATTCCGCAGGCCATTCCAAAGTGGCAAGAATAACATCAGATCAGAACTTTTCTGTAGTTCTCAGACCTGACTCCGTTCCAGTATTACAGAAACTTCAAGAGGTAAGAGTGACGGTTTCTTAGCTGTGGGGAAAACTGTCTCGTAGGGGACATGGAGGCTTCACAGAAATAGACTGAAGTGATGAACGAAAGGTGTATCACAAATGTTATGCGATTCCATGCCACTTTTGAAAATAACAGAAACTAAAAGAAAGAAAAATAAAGCAAATGATGTAGTCACTATTCCCTTGAGCAGTCGACCCCATCGCCTGACGAAGACTAGCAGTAAGTAGTCGAAACGTCGCGATGTACATCTCAAGTGACTTCTTCGTGAGACAAACAAGTATACGGTTTATTACTGTGGCATCATTGTTCATTGCTGTTAGGGGATACTTTAGAGAAGAAATGTTACCAGTGTCTTGTGTGATAGATCGCTTGGTTAGCATGGGTTGTAGAGCGCCGGACTGCTGTGCGGAAGGTTGTGTTGTTGTTGTTGTTGTTGTTGTTTCTTTTTTGGTGTCGATTTTACCCAATTTCTTTACACCTTTTTTTGTTTTTGCTGGTAGGAGTATGTCAGCCTGTTGGATCTGAGTCGAATGCGCGATTTGTTCGGTTTGTTAAAGAAGGAGGCAGAAGAACAATCCTCACCAAGTCAGGTATCATTACGGGTTCACTGCCACTAAATTAATAATAGCCTGCGAGCAAGCCATTGGTAGGGACTTTAAGGAAACCACCACGGCGACGGCAATGAGAACATCGCAAAACAGAATATTTAATTAGCAGAACAGTAGCGAAACATGAACGTAATGAAACTTTGTACATTTCTTAGCCGTCCCGTGAAATTGCCAACTTTTACGTCCTCTTAGTAAAGAAACCTCAACAGCAATTAAGTTTCGTTTTTACTCTGAACTCAACGTTACATTCACATGTTATGCCGATGTGAAGATTCGTACCGTCAGAAAAATTGAACGCCTCGAGCTTCTGGCGAAAGTCGCGAAGGAAAATAAATTACGATATTTTCAGCAATGTTTTGCCACACGTCGACGTAGTGACATCTTAAACTCCCTTATGTCGGTTCTTCTGCACGAGCCTTCCAGACAGCAACGCTGTTAAGACTTTACCCTAAGGAAACTTTTGTAGCTAGGACGGCAAAACCGAGAAAGATGTCGATTAGAAATTGAATTTATATTTTTAGTTAGAATTTCCTTTCGCTAATAGCTGGATTTTTTTTCTCCAGCATAGGTTGTGGGAGCAGCCTTGAGTTTCTAAAAAAACTTAGAAAGTTTCCCCTGAGGGTTTCTGTCATCAGACCACGTAAATGTTTGGTCATTTCACTTTGGTCTTTTTGCAGAGGACAGCCAAGAAATATACAAAGTTTTAAAACGCACGTGCTGAGCTGTTGTTCTGCTCGTTAGATATTTTGTTTCGCCTCGCCCTCGTTGCCGTCGCCGTTGCCGTCGTGTTTTTGCTCAAGGTCCCCAATGTTCTTTTTCACTCCTTGATAATATTGTTGACAAGTACATTGTTTCCTAATTTCCAGGTTTTCATAAGTCTCAGAGGATTGATAGTTTCTTTGGAAAGAGACGTCTACGATGAACTTCTAATTGTCAGTGTCGATGACATACGGGTAAGCACTTTTGTTCTTACTGTTTACTGAAAATAGTAGCTTTATTTTGTGAGTTTCTTTATTTGTTTTTGGTTTTACCTGGCGAAAAACAAACTCTGATTGTATACTGTCTTACAAAGAAAGCAGTTTCCTTGAAATGACAGGTCTGCTTTAGTTTTAGTCAAACTAGAGGAATTTGGAAAAAACTTCGTGAAGTAACTCAAAGCTGAGGTGGAGGAGTCTTCATTTCTGTGTTTGATATTCCACCGAAGTGTTTTGGATTCAGAGAACTATTAAGAACATTTCATATTTAAAAGTTAAAGGTCCTTCAAAATGCATGTGTTTGGACTCGACTCCGCTATTTTATGTAAACGTAATGCATGATTCTGAGATTAAAAAAACATCAACAACGAAATCATGTTTGTTTTAATTAAGACCTCATGTGTGCGGACATTTTTTAGGACTTGTTTGTTTTGTCTGAGGGCATAACGAAATCTTTACTTTTGTCTTTGTCTACCTTCTTTAGCTTGATTTTAACCGGGATCAGCATCATGTAACCGTGGAACTGAGTGTGAAAGACCTTGAGGTAAGTCTGTTAACCCTTTAAGTGACCAGCATCTAATTTCTCCTCACAATATCACCCCTGAATCAAACATTTAGGTCACGAGAATAAAAGAAATGATCAAAAACTAATGAAGCTCTTGATTGTTAAACAACTTCTCGTTGTCAGCGCCTTAGGAAATGTATAGAGAACAGTACGGAGAATATGCATACTGATGTTAGGGTGTAGACGGTTTTAAGACCTTGTCATAGTGCTTATTGTAAGGTTCTCTCTGAGTGCACCAGAGTTAACGAATAAGATCTAGAAGATTGCTTTTATACCTCAGCCATTTTCAAATAGTTGAACCATAACAGCAATTTTTCGCCTTAGATAATACCCTAGTCATCATTTAAACCCTCAGTGTGACGAGGATCTAATTTCCCCTTAGAGTAATACTGCAGAATCATTCACTTGGATTATGAGAATAAAGGAAATGATCGCCAACCTAAGAAGCTCTTGATTGTGATACGAATTCTCCTAGTCAGTACCATAAGGAATGTATCGAGTGGAGTTTGGAGAATACGGATTCTGATGTTAGGATGAAGGGTTAAGAGAATGTGTTGGGTTATTCGTGTTTTTCCCACGTTTTTGATTATATACATGATTTTTTTCTTCGCCTTCATCTTTTCTCTGAAAAATATATCCTTGTCTCCCTGAGTTCTGATCGACTTTTGTTACTTCTTTTGTTTTAGTGTTTGTATACCGATTCCTCTAGCTTTCTCATGTCTAAAATTATAATCTTTCTCATTGACCCATAATTGTGACTGTCAACAGGTAGAGGATTGCGCGGATAAAATCATTGCATTTCAACAAGAGCGGTCCAACGGTATGAGTTCCCAGTCTCTTCTGCGGTTTTCATTCCTGCAGGATGCGAAGAATGAAGCAGGGAGAGTAGTTGTAAAGGTACGTCTCAAGATGTCTACATGACCTGCTGTGTGGTGGAGAAGTGAATCTCTTTGACAGATCAATAATTTGAGTCGAAGACTTTTGTAAACTACTGTTTGAAATCAATTTGATTATCTAGACAGCTAAATTTGGATGTCTCTTGTTATTTCTTGGGCGATTGGCGCTTAATCGAGGAGGACACCAGTTATTCTTCTGAACTGATACCGCTGAAGTTGAAGCGTAAAAAGTTATGAATAGAGTGGCTTTAAAAGAAAATTTTTGTTGTATCCTTACTATTTAGGAAAATGAAGGGAAGGGAGGAGGGGCTTTTTTTTCGAAAAGGGTGCTTGTATAACATTATGGCCTAGGAGGTAGGTGCGTCTTCGGAGGATGGTGCCTATAGTAGCGTGGGTGCTTATTCGAGGAAATACGGTATTTTCACGTTTTGTCCTTGCAACAGAAACTTCGCTTGGAACTAGGCGAATCGACAGTCACATTTCAAGAGAAACTCATTCTGAAACTTCTGAAATTTGCTGGCATCAAAACCAAGACCCAGTTGTGGGGCGAAGACACAAAAGCGCAACAAGAAAACTCCAGCGAAAGTCCGTCCACTGCTGTCACAGCAAAGCCGTTTTATTTCGAAAAGCTACATGTGGAACCATTTCGAGTTGTGGTGACTTGTAATCCCGCTGTCGAGCTTTCAGATGATCTTCAGAGTTTGAAAACAAAGCTGGAGATTCCTGCTGGTTTTCCACCATTGATGGAGAATGCCAGCATGCAATTTGGTAAGTAAGATTTCATTTCTTATCTTAAATAAGAACAATAATTACTCTGACATAGATCTTTAATCCTTATTGTCCTAACATCAGTATACATTTTCTCAGTACTGTTCTCTATACATTTCCTTGGGTGCTAGAAAGGAGAATTTGTTTAACAATCAAGAGCTGCTTTAGTTGGTGATCATTTCCTCTTTTCTCGTGACCTTAATATTGAAAGGAGAAAGTAGATGTTGGTCACCTACAAGAGTGAAAGGGATAAGGAGTGAAAAAGGTCATAGTGGATTTCTTTTGTTCTCTGTCATATGTTATGTACTTTTAGCGGGGAAAATTAAAAATTTGAATCTTCGCCCGGCCTTGTGATATCTCACCTGTTGTTCAGATTTGAATGTAATGTTCCATCATTTGAAATCATCTGGACTGCTAATTAACGATCTTATTCGCGCTGTTTTTTATGAATGCGGGAATTTTTCATGCACCGTGGAGTTTTAATCTTAGAGTTATGTTGGAGGAATCTAAGGAGACATATCTAAATTTCTAACTGAGCTAAAATGTGCCTTTTTGTAATTATCGTTATTGAAGAAGCCACATCACATGTAAATGTAAATTTTTAAGGATGGATTGAAATTTGAATAGTTCTTTTAGCGGTTTCCATT